GAGTGCTTCTTAAAACTCGACCAGCATGAAAAGAGATTAAGGCAACTAACTCAACGGATTTTGAATATCTTTTCATCTTGTTGCCACAAATGTGGCTCCGCTGAATCGGAAATAAAGTTAATTTTAATGTAATTTCTAAGTATTTCAGCTCTCGAGCGAACTCAAGCAGATCACGAGATTCTTTACCACCTACGCTAGATAGTAGAAGACTTACATTAAGTTTGTTTTTCCTTATCGTATCTTACTCTCATCACAGTCTACGAAAAATTTCTCGAAATAGCAATCGATACCGGTGATGGGATTCTTGAAGTGGAGGGCGAGAAAAACGATCTCCTTGACATTATACAAGAAGCTAACATGGACGGAGTCCGTCATCTCAAAGCAAGTGATCCATTGTCAAGGTGGGTGGTACGCGTATGCAAGTGATTGCAACACAGCAAATTGTTTCAGATACATATGGTGTTTTATCATTATCGTATTCGTTTTTCTTGCACTCATTCAAATTTACTATCAAATAATGCTTTTCTACTCGGGGCCTGTGGCCACGAACATTGAAGCCCAATATCCTTCTGCTATTGCGTTTCCGACTGTTGCCCTTTGTAACAATAATCAATTCAGGTATGATTCTATATTCTTTAATATCAACCCCGCTCCCAAATGGTCGATGCAGTGACAAGAACGTACCGTATTCGTTACACTCGTACATAAAGCTCACGTGGAGATTTTCAGGCTAAGTTATATAACTGGTGCACGGATACTCCAAAGACGGGCGCGCCCTAGTAATGGAACACTAAAGTCCTTGGCGGGAAAGCCACGAAATGTTTTCGAAGAAGTAGGCGCAAATATCTTTTTTTCAATCAGATTTTCAGTTAAAAACTTTTCACATAGATTATTGAACGAACCTGGGACATGGATGCTGTGCGCTTTCTTCGAAATGCCGCTCACTGGAAGTCTAGGATGATTTTGGGGTTTTCAGCTCGTGTAATATAATACAGAATCTTACGAAAATGTTTCTTTAGTTGTACGTGGCCGAATGGAACAAGTTGTCGCTTGAGTGATTTCAAACCCGTCTGGACGCTCACAGGTCTTTGTTGGGCAATAAATACCGATCCTATGAATCCTTTAGAAGTGGTCGGAAGTGGTAAGTTTTGAATAATCTTACACAGTTGTTCCTCAATAGAAAAAGTTTTTTT